GAGGCCGCTGTAGATGACTCTACTACTGAGACCACTATGGAAGAGTCTACTACTGAGGCCACTATGGAAGAGTCTACTACTGAGGCCCCTGTAGACGAGTTCACTACTGAATCACCTGTAGGTGAGGGTACCACTGAAGCCCCTGTACGCGGTACCACTACTGAAGCCCCTGTAGGTGAGGCTACTACCGAAGCCCCTGTAGATGTGTCTACTACTGGATTCCCTGTTGGAGAGTCTACTACTGAGGCCACTATGGAAGAGTCTACTACTGAGGCCCCTGTAGACGAGTTCACTACTGAATCTCCTGTAGGTGAGGGTACCACTGAAGCCCCTGTACGCGGTACCACTACTGAAGCCCCTGTAGGTGAGGCTACTACCGAAGCCCCTGTAGATGTGTCTACTACTGGATTCCCTGTTGGAGAGTCTACTAGTGAAGCACCTATAGATGAGTCCACTACTGAGGCCCCTGTAGACGGGTCTACGACTGAATCTCCTGTAGACGAGTCTACTACTGAAGCCCCTGCAGATGAGTTTACTACTGGAGCCCCTATAGACGAGTCCACTAGTGAAGCCCCTGTAGATGAGTCTACTACTGAGGCTCCTGTAGACGAGTCCACTACTGAAGCCCCTGTAGATGCGTCTACTACTGAAGCCCCTGTAGACGAGTCCACTACTGAAGCCTCTGTTGGTGAGTCCACCACTGAGGCTCCTGTAGACGGGTCTACTACTGAGGCCCCTGTAGACGAGTCCACTACTGAGGCTCCTGTAGATGAGTCTACTACTGAAGCCCCTGTTGGTGAGTCTACTACCGAGGCCCCTGTTGACGAGTCCACTACTGAGGCCCCTGTTGACGAGTCTACTACTGAGGCCACTACTGAAGAGTTTACTACTGAGGCCGCTGTAGATGACTCTACTACTGAGGCCACTATGGAAGGGTCTACTACTGAGGCTCCTGTAGCCGAGTCCACTACTGAAGCCCCTGTTGGTGAGTCTACTACCGAGGCCCCTGTAGACGGTTCTACTACTGAAGCCCCAGTGGATGAGTCTACTACTGAAGCTCCTGTAGACGAGTCTGCTACTGAGGCCCCTGTAGATGAGGGTACCACTAAATCCCCTGTAGACGAGTCCACTACTGAGGCCACTATGGGAGAGTCCACTACTGAGGCCCCTGTAGATGCGGCTACCACTGAAACCCCTGTTGGTGAGTCCACTACTGAAGCACCTATGGGTGAGGCTACTACTGAAGCCCCTGTGAATGAGTTTACTACTGAAGCCCCTGTAGATGAGTCCACTACTGAAGCCTCTGTTGGTGAGTCCACTACTGAGGCCCCTGTAGACGAGTCCACAACTGAAGCTCCTGTGGATGAGGCTACTACTCCTACAGCCACCCTGACTGAGTCTATGACTACTGGAGCCTCTTCAATGGTGTCCACCACTGAATCCTCTATGATGGAGGCTCCGGTAGTTACCAGTGCGCCTCCTATTGGCGACTTCACTGATGTTCCTCCCATCCTCCCATAAGGCAGCACTGCATAAGACAGAGCTTTATGTTTGAGGATTGATTATTTTTATGAAACTCTCATGACTACTCCACTGGTGAGATGTTGTTCAGAAACCTCCATGAATGGAATGAAGCATCATCTATAAGCATCGCCGTGTTGTGTAGACGTTAATGTTTTGGTGAGTCGAGCGGTGCATTTACTTGCACTGCAGACGCGATGTGAATTATCATATCCGATGACCAGAGTCTAATGCGCAGCTAACAACAAGATCTGTTGGTGTAGTGGACGATGTCAGCGATTCTTAATAGCTATTGTAATTACTCTCGAGTAAGCGCGAAGCGTGGGTGTTCCATTATTGTCAAATATGCTGCACACATGCTGCTGAATCACCTGATGTTGGAAAGTTGATGAGTCTAATCGACGGCATTGGATAGGCAGCAATAACTTTTGAGAGTCCCCCACACATTATGGAAAATGTTGATACATTGCACATCTGTCGACGCTCAAGCTACCTTTAGCTTCGGCGACAAGAAAATGGTATTTTCTTACTAGCCAGGTTAAGGCGGAAAAATGTTTAGTCTAGCCGCTGGATGAACCAGCCAGCTTGCTTACTTGGAGAGGCAGTTCAAACCGAAGTTGAATGTTTGTTCTGCTGATTTGTACACGGTTTTAGTAAAGATAATATAGGATCGATACGGACGATTCAAACTGAATTAATAGGTATATCGACCTGTATGACTCATTTTCTCGAGGCGCAATCTTTTTTTGTCGATTGTTATGTGAGCTCTCCTCAACTCTCAAAAGTACCCTAATTGTCTGGAGATGAACTGAATGAACAACACAAGTCCGAGGGGCTAGACAGAAATAGAGTCCAATCAATTACTTTATACTCTTAGCATGGAGATATCCAGAATGACAACAATAATGAAGAATAGCTCAGTAACAAAAACTTCAGTATGGCGTCACGCTACCAGCGTGAAGTAGTACTCTTCAGGGACAGGGATAGGCAGTGCCAGTACATCCAGCCGAGACCTCATAGCACAATCCGTTGGCACTTTGGAGGAGACCGAAACAAACAGGAGTATCGAGCCAGGTCTTGCAGAAAGATTTCCACTGACTTGCTGAACAATCGGCGACTGACTCGCATGCAGAGGAGCAGCTGTCAAACGACGTTACCGCAGCACCGCATGGGACAGCTCCGCTCGAAGCAGCAGAGCCCACGTCATGGCATATGTTGTCGTCACCACAGTAGCTGAAGATGCAGTCGGGGGATGCATCACAAAGACTTTGACAATAACCACCATCGGTGGCATGAAGCTTCTCGGCGATTA